AAGGCCTGGATCACCTTCGCCAGCTCCTTCTTGAAGCACCCGAAGCCAGCGACGTCCAAGGGCTGGGTGATGTGGGACATGTGGGAGGCCAGCTGGACGAGGTGGATGTTGAGGGAGATGGCCAACTTTATGACGTCCAAGCTCACGTGCGACGTGTGCCCATCCAGCACGAGCACATGGGGTTTTCCGTCGAGCAAGTTGCGGTCGCCGAGCTGCTTGTGGAAGTTCTTTATGTACTTTATGAACACCTCACCACACATGAAGGACGACTCCGTGCAGTCGTAGAACGCACCCGGCGGGCCGTTGAGATCCGCGACCTAATCTCCGTTGAAGTGTTTCCCTTTGAAGATGATGGTAGGGGCCAACGCGGCGCCGGCGACGTTGATGGTGGTGNGGGCCAACACGGCGCCGGCGACGTTGATGGTGGTGATGATCGTGCAGTTCTCTCGCGAGGTGGAGCGCATCTGGGCGACCACCGGCTGCCCCCGTTCCGCCACGACCCGCTGTCCTTGCGTACCTTGAACGGTGCCACCTGCAATGATTTTTTGCGGCGGCAAGCGGGAGTAGGGGGGAGGGAGAAGCAGTAAGAGATTAAGTACAGGGGACAATAGCGCTTGCACGGACCACCAACGTCCAGCCTAAAATGGGTGGGGGAGCGGGCGGGGAAGAGAACGGCGAACACGGTGGGATGTCCTCACATGCAAAATGTACCGGCGCAACTGCACAGCTGGGGCCATCGCACTAGTCTAGAATACAGCCTTCTCGTCTTGAGCCTCGAGAAAAAAAAAGCCCACACAGGGGACACTGCTAGTAATAGTGTAGCAGCAGCAGCAGCAGCAGCAGCAGCAGAAGCAGCAGCACCGCGACAAGCTTCTCCTTCACACACACATCAATTCCGTGTGTGTGCTGCGCAAAAATCATGTGTATCAGCATGCAAAACTGCTCTTGAAGCAACGTGTGTGCATGCTGCCGACATGAACAAGGATCCCAAACAGCTGTATTAATAGTAGCCAGCGTTGTTGTTGTTGTTGTTGTTGTCTTCACATTAAAAACCATCCCGGTCTCTCTATCC